TTACAGCGAAACTCGCTTAAGGCAGACACCCCTGTAAGGTGGACACTCTTAGGAGGACACCCTTCCCTTATACCAATCAGATTGCCCCATCAGTATTTTTTTTGTTACAGCGAAACTCGCTCAAGGCAGACACCCCWGTAAGGTGGACACTCTTAGGAGGACACCCTTCCCTTATACCGATCAGATTGCCCCATCAGTATTTTTTTTTGTTACAGCGAAACTCGCTTAAGGCAGACACCCCTGTAAGGTGGACCCTCTTAGGAAGACACCCTTCCCTTATACCGATCAGATTGCCCCATCAGTATTTTTTTTGTTACAGCGAAACTCGCTTAAGGCAGACACCCCTGTAAGGTGGACACCTCTTTAAAGACAGATACCCTTCCATTGGTCCGGTCAGATTGCCTCATGTTGTCTGTTACAGCGAAACTCTAATTTAGTGCATATTATTTTATTTCACTTTTGACTGTTAGTCACTGAATATGCAACTGTTTGCACTAGCCAAATGAAATATCTCTACAAAATCTTCAATGTCCATAGTTTTCTGTTGTTAAAGTAAATGTAAACTTTATTTAACCAGGGTGGCCCATTCAACTACGAGATTGGTATAAAAAGGGGCATTTCTTCATGTTGTTTCATCCCTGCATGACATTTAGTACAAATCAGTTCTAGCTATTTAGTACTGTTTCATGGATACAGTGTTTGTACTCTAGTATGAGATGTATGATAAAGAGGGTACTATGCTTTAAACCTTTTGGCGAAGCATTAATGTGCTTATTCAATTTAAGGCAAAAATGAACAAATAAATGAATATTGACGAAATATTCTAGTGGTAATTCAGATATATTCAGATAAAAATATAAAAAAATATCCTGATACAACCTCTGGGATGATCTATGTCAGGGCACGGATAACCCACATTTTAATCCCAAATTATCTATGTCAGGGCACGGTTAGCTCACAGATTGAATCCTAAAACAACTCTGGGCTGACCTAAGTCGACATGGCTAACTTACAGATCGAACCCTGAAACAACCTCTGGGCTATCTAAGTCAGGGCACGGCTAACTCACAGATCGAACCCTGAAACGACCTCTGGGCTGATCTAAGTCAGGGCACGGTTAACTCACAGATCAAACCCTGAAACAACCTCTGCGCTGATCTAAGTCAGGGCATGGCTAACTCACAGATTGAACCCTGAAACAACCTCTGGGCTGATCTAAGCCAGGGCATGGCTAACTCACAGATCGAACCCTGAAACAACCTCTGGGCTGATCTAAGTCAGGGCACGGTTAACTCACAGATTGAACCCTGAAGCAACCTCTGGGCTGACCTAAGTCAGGGCACGGCTAACTTACAGATCGAACCTCAAAGCAACCTCTGGGCTGATCTAAGTTAGGGCACGGCTAACATAGATCAAACTCTGAAACAACCTCTGAGCTGATCTAAGTCAGGGCAGTAAAGTAACTCACAGATCGAATTGGAATATATGTTTTATTTTTATTTTATTTTATTTTTATCTTGTAAACTTCGCCTTATGGGCAAGGGAAACCACACAGAGCCGAGCTCCAACACGGGGTCCCAAAGAAAAATTGCTTTAAGAAAAGCTAACCTTTTTGTAAATTCCATTATTTTTCAGGCAATTGCAAGTTTCAATGTTAAATTTTCATATTTTCCAAACTATATGAGAGCGGATCAAGACATTCGACACTAATTTTTCATATGCAAATGTCTCGGTGGACGTACGAGACTTACTTCCAAGCATGCGTTACGTTGATACATGTTTCCAAGCATGCGTTACGTTGTACATGTTTCCATGCGAATGCCAAAATATATACCGTTTCTAATTTTCTCTTGAATTGGCCACCTACAATGCTATTGAATCTAGCTGTTTCGCGTCAAGACCGAATGTCAACAACTTGACTGAAGCTAGTGCCGAATTTCCCAACTATTTTAATATATTCAGTTTGTTAGGTCGCTCCCTCGATTAGAGGATTGTTGATTCTCTCACTGGTTTTCCTCTCTCCTGACAAAACCTAACCGCTTTTAACTCCAATTCAATCTTTCAATTTGCTGTTCTGTGGCTTTGATCAACCCAGTGGTTGTTTCACAATATCTATAAAAATTTGAGAATTAATCTAAGCCGTTAATTTGACGACCGATTATTTCCCTTTAATTTTGCTTTGTATGATGGTGCAAGAAAGTCACGACTTAAAAAACTGCTTATTTTAGGGTAACAAACTTGTGGCCCTTCTTTTGCGCAGGTAGAAAAAAAGAGAATCCAAAGGAAAAGCCTTCGAGGCCGGCGCAGGAGAGAAAAAACTAACATGAACTCGAGTCACATACGACACCGAGTCCTGGAATCGAACCCGGCTCGCATTAGGCGACCTAAACTAATATAACTTCAGTCGAACTCGGCCAGTCCAGTCGAATAAAAAGAAATACAGAATAAGATACCAATAGCAATAATGCTAATGTTATTGCTATCAAATAAACAAATAAATAAACAAACATTTTAAAACCTGAAAATGAATACAAATAATTGAAGTCGTATCGCTTTAGTTCTAAAACTTTTAAGTTGAAAAAGATAAGAAAGAAAAAAGAAAGAAAAGTTTCTTTGAAATTTGCCAGTAAATATAGCTAGTACTTATGGAGATTTTTTTCCCCTCATTTTCTTTAATTTTTTGATATTTCTTAATAAATATTTTAACGCAATTTTTGGCATTTCAAAAAAAAAAATACAGAAGGGGAACGAAAACAGAAGAATTTGTCAAAACTTTGAAAATTTAAGCACTTGAATTTTAGAACCGTAAGCACTAGAATTTTGGTATAGTTATCGATAGTTTTGAAAATCCGGCAGTCACAATTAAGTTCGCCAGATAAAGCCTTTTCGAACAAGGCAGGTGTTGATAAAGGAAAATTACCAATATCGTCATCTCTTTGTGCATATGCAGCTATTGAAAGAGAGGAATTGCCTGATAGCCAATTCTATTGTAAATTCACCATGGCGAACAGGCTATCTAATAGCTTCATCTATTATGCATGATTTCGAAAGGTCAGTTCATCTCATTTCCAAGCTCTATTTATGCAGTTTGGCAACTTATTTTAACAAGAACGTTATTCAAGAAACCGAGTGGAGTTCTTCAAGTTATGGAAACTATTCGCTTTTTAATCGTCATTGCTATCGCTTTGGGTAAGTTTTGAATAATTTTTTTCCTACTTCTCGAATGGTTAAAAACTTTCAAAAAAAAGGATGACAAACGATAATACAGAATTTTAAATTATAATATGTGATGCTTGAAAGTATGACTCGAAGATAAAAATTCATCAGTTCTCAAAACTAATCCACAATAAAAGTAATTAAAAAAATCGTGAAAGAAAAAACTGACAAAAATATAATATAACACGAAAGAGGGCTTCGATTTAAATCTAAGCATCTTTTCAGAAAATTTTTAATTTGACAAAATTTTGCAATATACCGAAGTCACGATCATATTACGTTTTCTTGACACGATTTTCTTTTTTTAGGAACTTCAGTAAAAGCAAGCGAAGTATGCCATGAAGACCAGGTAAGATAAACTAACTCTTCTTTGTTTCTTAGCACATTTGAAACAACGATCTTGACATTTCTCCTGAAACTTGAGGTTTAGAAGACGAAGCGGTTGCACAACTGTAACGTTTTTTAGAATCTGTCTACAGCCTTGAGACAGTTAGCACAATTCCGCTCGAAGTCGTCCACGTACTATTCAGATAAGTAAATTAGAAGGAAACTTGAACGCCGTGTAAAATGACTTGTGACGTTTGGACGTTATTCCTTCGTCTGAAACTTCAATATACTTGGTACATTTTTACACGGCGGAAAGGAAACAAGGAAGCAAGGAAACAATGAAGCAAGGAAGCAAGGAAGCAAGGAAGCAAGGAAGCAAGGAAGCAAG